AGCTTCTTCCCACGTGCACTTCCACAATATATAATAGAGAATTATTTCACCACCACCATCCAAGACACAGTCACATCTTCCTCCAACCCACAGCAGAACAATGACATTCCCCTTCGTTTTGCATGAAGTGAAAAATGGGATGAGAATCTTGAGCAGACTTTTAACTCAGGACTGAAAAGTCTGGGTCTGAGACTGTACTGAGGAGACACAGGTGTGAACAAAGAACACATGGAGCAGATGCTGCTGTACCTGGTCTATGCTCTTCCAGTTTGCTAAACGTTTCTCCAACAGGGAAGCAACAGAAACACAAGAAACCCAAGAGACCCAGCAGAGGTGTGTGCAGGTCATGGACAGCAAAGCTTCCCCACACCCAGCTCTGGGCACTTGTTCAAGGTGACTCAAGGAGGGAGGAAACCACCTGGTTTCATGGCTGTCTCAGCCCTGGGAAGTATCTTTTAGCCATCTCTGCCCACTTCTGAAAGACTAAGAGCTCCATCCTAACGCTGTACTACTCAGTGCTAACACTGGGCTGGAACCTGCAACCTCATTCCTGCCTCCTCTCCAGTCCACTCCTCTAATTCCCAGTCACTGCAGCTGTCCTGGAATGGTCTGAGCACTGAGACTGAAAGGCTGGGAGAGGCTGGGGCTGTTCAGCTGAGAGAAAAGGAGGTTGAGGGATCTCATTCATGCTTATAAATATCCAGAGGAGATGTAAGGAGGATGGGCCAGACTCTTCTCAGTGGTGCCCAGTGACAGGACAAGGGGCAATGGGGACAAACTGGAGCACAGGGGGAGTGACAGAGCCCTGGGACAGGCTGCCCAGGGAGGTGGTGGAGTCTCCATCCCTGCAGACATTCCAAGCCCACCTGGATGTGTTCCTGTGGGATCTGTTCCAGGGGATCCTGCTCTGGCAGGGGGGTTGGACCAGCTGATCTCCAGAGGTCCCTTCCAACCCCAACCATTCTGTGATTCTGAGAGACACAAGGAGGCTCTGGAGGGCTGCAGGCTGTGTCCCCATGGCCTGCACATTGAACACAAGTTGCTTTTGCACATGATTTAATAGAAATGGAGGAGAGAGGAAACAGGATGGGGATTTATCTGTCCTCTCCCTACCTCATCTTTCAGGGAGGCTTTAGGGCCATTTTAATCAGCCTCAGATGGATCTCAGCTCCTGGCACGGCTGTAAATCCAGGTGGTGGAGCTAATACTCATGGAATTACAGGACTGATTTAATGCCACAGAAGAATTATTCTATATTTAATAAAAATATTTTTTAATTCTCATTAGGGACCCTTTAATCTGGTGTGGATGAAGCAGACACTGCCAACAGAGGGTTTACTGGCTTTCTCTTTAGATTTTAGCACAGCTGAAGATCTGGCCCATGTCTGGCTTCGTGTATTTGCTGTCAAATCACCAGTTCCTCACCAGCAACCATCCTGGCACTGTCACTGCAGCCTTGTCACCACAGCCTGCAGCTGAGCCAGACAAACTGAACCTCACCTACTCCCCAGGCAGCTTTGGCAGATCCTCAGCAATGCCCTGGATGCAAACCAGCCTCTTGAGAACAGTCAGTGGCACGAGGGAATTAGAAGGGGAAGGAGGTGACCAGGTAGGATACAGCACCTGGCTTGGCCAGCCAGCTTGTCCCCATGACTGGTGATCACCCAGCAGATGCCTCTCCCCCTGGCTGCTCCTGCTGCTCCCCCTGCCAAGCCAATTGCTTGGGCTGCTCCATGTTTCCAAGCCATTTGGTGCTTAACTGGGTGAAGAAGGCAGGGCAGGAGGGGGAGAAGTGGTTGGAGCTGAGAAAAGGTGAGAGAAGAGTGAAGGTGTGAGGTTTAAAGGACACGTGGTTGGGGCAGTAGGAGGTAAAAAGAGGAGGGATACCTTGGCCCAGCACTATATTCAACTCTCAGATCACTCGTGGCCACCTTTGTGGTTTGCAGACTCACACCCACAGTCCAGCCCACCATGCAGCCACTGGTGGGCAGCAAGGAACTCAAAAACCTCCACACACCTCCCCTGGGCTCAAGGAGGACCTCAGAGGATTTCTGCCCAGTGCCTTCCAGTGCTCCCCACCCGAGAGCTAAGCACACACTTCCTACCCTGCTGTGCTCAGGCAATAACTGCCCTCATCAGGTCTCCTGGCAGGGGAGCTCCAGATGAGACCCTTCCCAGCTCAGAAGGACCTTGCTCAGGTCTCAGGGTTGGCTCTAAGTCTGGAGCCTCTGTGGACTTTAGGAAGGTTAAAAGACTTACTGGGGACATGGGAAAGGTGGGGAGGGGATGGGGGGGGACAACAGTGAGCAAGTCCTTCCTCCTGGGTCTGCAGGAGGAAGAGCTGGTTTTCCCCAGCACATGGACACGTGCAGGCGGTTGCACCCAGGGCTTGGAGGTGAAGGGCAGACAGCTCCTGTCCTACAGAATTCCTTCTGCCTGAATGAAGGACACTAAGAGGGGTTGATTTGTATTATTTTTTTCTGGCCTTTCAGGCACCTAAGCAAACAATCAGCACGAGCCAACTGAATGTTAATGGGATTCATCATCTAAATCCTATTTACTTCTTGTCACAGCAAGGCTCCTGCTGCAGGAGAAAGCTTTTCCAGCAGACTGCTGCTCTGGAGTGAATACAAAATGCATTTTAACTAGATCTTCTGCAACTATTTCAACCTGTCCAATAAATCTTTAAGGGTTGTTTTCAGTGTTTTTTTTAAGAACCCCCCCCCGCCAAGATAAGGATTTTCCACCTCTCCCACACAAAGCCAGACATCCCACAAAATAAAAGGTCCAGGAGGAACCAGGATTCAATCAAAAGGTGTGTAACACGTTGGGCCAGACTATTTCCCACAACAGAAATGAATTGCTATGGATCAGACCTTAGGTAACTGCAGAATAAGAGCTACAGAAGAACAAGCAGGATAAAGGCAGAGAGCAAAGAGAAGCCCAGTGACTTCAACAAAAAAAAAGACACCACAAGAAAAAATAAATACACAAGGTCAATGCTGGTTGAATTAGGCCAGTTCTGCTTTTTCTGAGGCAGTTTGTTGCTCATGTATTTAAAACATAAAGAATATTTTAAAAGAGCTTTCTTTGCATGGCCTTTTTTTTTTTTTTTCCCCTTTAATAAATAAAAGAACCTTTAAAAAATTAATAGTTCTTTTAAAATGGAAGCTTCTTGTTTCTGTAGCTGCTGCCAGCAGCTCTGATCTCATGTACCATGGGCCCCTCAGAGTCATGGCATCAAATATTCAGGGTGGGGTGGAGCCACTGCTGTCTGCAACTGCCTGGAGTCCCCAGGGCTGCAAGTGAATTCCTCCACGGAAGAGTGAACGAGGTCACACAGCTCTGCCCAAGCACAAAGCCACCCTCTTCCAGGGCCTAAATTCTTAGATGGAAGAAAGAAACCAGGACCTACTTTCCTGGCCCTTTCCTTCCAGCCTTGTTGTTGCATCTCCGGGTCACTCCTGCCAAAGGGGAGGCCCCTGAGCTCCTACCCTGCTTGGACCTGCAGCAGGAGATGGAGAAGCTCAGCCTCCTGTTCCATCCCTGGAGCAGCTCAGCCTCCTGTCCCATACCCAGGAGCAGCTCAGCCTCCTGCTCCATCCCAGGAGCAGCCTGACATCCCTGGAGCAGCTCAGCCTCTTGCTTCATCCCTGGAGCAGCTCAGCCTTCTGCTTCATCCCCAGGAGCAGCTCAGCCTCCTGCTCCATCCCAGGAGCAGCTCAGCCTCCTGTCCCATCCCCAGGAGCAGCTCAGCCTCCTGTTCCATCCCCAGGAGCAGCTCAGCCTCCTGTCCCATCCCCAGGAGCAGCTCAGCCTCCTGTTCCATCCCTGGAGCAGCCTGACATCCCTGGAGCAGCTCAGCCTCCCAATCCATCCCAGGAGCAAACTGGGCCATACCACCCTTACAGCAGAACTACCACCTCTTCCCAGAGGGTTAAATGCCACTTTTGCTGCCTCCCTTACCAATTCCCAGCTAACCTCTCCATAATCTCTCTCCACTCTGTTTCCATGTCAGTGACTTTCCTCCAGAGCTCGACAGCCTGAATCCCACTGGGTCACATTGCCCAGACTGCACAAAATGATGCCTGAAGCTCCCAGCCCTGCTGCTGCAGGTTAGACATGCAATCCTCTGAATGAGAACAAAGCTGCTTCTTTTAACCTAGTTATTAAGATTTTCATTAACTGCAACTCACACATTAACAATGTACCCACTCAGGCATCCCCTGAGACCTTTTTGGTACAAATACATCTGCTTATAGTTTCAAACTCTCTGGTTTACTTGGCTTTCTAGTCTGCTTCTATCCCCTGCTTGAAGAAAACTGGGATGGATGAGAACTGTTCAGGAAAAATACATTTCACGGAATCATGAGCAATCAAGGGACAAAGGAGTTAATGCAATGGGTGTAACATGGTTTGGTTCCACAGTGGCAAGTGTGTGTGCATGTTTGACAGGCATAACAGTGCAGCAAGAGACAGGAATAACGTATTACCCCATGAAACTCCTAGAGAGAGATTCCAGCAAGGAGAAGACAAAGAAAGAGCAGAGTCAATGACAAACAGAAACATAAGGCTGTACAGTGCACCCCACACACCCCCAGGTGTGTGCTGGCAGGTAACCCCATCCCCAGTCCCACACCCACCAGCTCCATCTTCATCAGAATGAACAAGCAAAGACTAACAAGTTGGTTACACAGCATTAACTACCCATCCCCCCACAGCAAATCAGTCCTTCCACTGACAAGCAACCAGGGCAAATGCATCTTCCTCCTCCTGGCACGCTGGGAAATAATAACTTGGACTCTTTTGGCAAAGGCTGTTTGTTTTTTTCTAAGGGCAACATGAAGTTCTGTGCATCTCAGCCACCTTTCTGCTATTGACAATGTAAAAACACCATCTCCTCACTGCTATTCATGGGTTGTTTCTAGTGAATGAAGAGATTTGACACCTGGGGCTGGTAAATTTGGATGACAAATTTGCTAGCCTGCTTTAAGTTCCCCTATATCTATTTCCTTAAAGACTAAAACAAGTCTGTGTCTTGGTGGCATATTTATCTCTAGAGAAAGAAAGACATTTCCCTTTGAAATACACTGCTAAATGAAAGACACTATTTTATTACCATCACCAGTATTATTAATGATTCTAGCACCTCACTGGGGGCCTTGTTTTAAAATTGTTTATCTTTTTTAAATTCCAGTCAAGCAAAGAATGGCTTCAAAGGAGCTACGTGCAGAAGACAGACTGGGAGCTGGTTTGAGAGGCTGAGATGGGTTTTATGAACCTTGCAGCAATGACAGATACTATCTTGAATGCCTAAACAAACTCAGGCTGTTGAGTTTCTTCATGGAAAGGGTTGTCAGACACTGCAATACGCTGCTCAGGGCAGTGGTGGAGTCACCATCCCTGGAGGGATTTAGAGAGCCATACTTAGGGATATGGTTTAGTTAAGGACTTGTCAGTGTCAGGATCATGGTTGGACTCTGATCTTTAATTTCTTTTCCAGCCAAGGTAGTTCTGTGATTCTGTAATATTCCAGATGGAAAAGTTTCAGGGAACTCTGTTTTTCCTAGATGTTCAGTAGCATGTCTGTTCAGCAAGAAGTGGATCCACATCCCTTTCACTGGACATCCAGGAGTTGAAGAACATGGACAAGAATCCAGTCACATCCGTGGAGGGACAGGTGTGGATTCCTGCAAACAGGGACTGGTAACAACCACGTTGAAGGTCTTTTTTACTGTGACACCGATGCTGAGTGACAGAACTGCAGTGGTTGCTAGAAAAACTGACAGAACCATGAAGATGACCCAGTTCATTCCCCAATAGCTGGTTTTTAGGATTATCAAAATCCAGCAGGCTCGGAGCGTCTGTGGGGTTTAACCAAGTCATACACTGAGCTCAGGACATGCCTGTCCCCTCAGATGTCACCTGCACACTCAGAGCCTTGTTAGTATTCATAACTGGACTAGAGGGCAAGTCAGCTCCTACAAATGAGTGGATTTCCTGCTCTCAGATCAGAGCAGAAGTACTGCAGCTGTTCTCTGCACTGACTCCCACCCTGAGGTTACGGCCAGAATAAAAGCAACAGGAATTCAAATATTTCCCAGTCTCAGAAACAGGTTTGACTCACTTTAATCTGGGAGACAGCAAATAGCAGGCAGGTTTTATGCATTTGCTTTCTGTAAATCCCTGCTCCAGACTTTCTCAAAGATCACATGAAATAGAAGCAGCCCAAGGCACACTGTGATGAAGGGGATGTAAAGTCATTTAGATAGAGACTAGTGAGGTACTGTCAGATATTCATGGCCCAGTGTGAGCCATAGGAAACCTGAGCACAAAAAGACTCAGAAGGATTCGAAAGTATTCACTTTAATCCAGAAGAAAACCTTGTACAAAGAGAAGATGTTGAAAAGGCAAACCCTAAATGTTTGTTCTCACAGCACAGGGTTGCTCTGATGGGCTCACACACGTCCCTTCTCCCTTGGAAGGCTGAATTCTTCATGCAAAAGAGAAATTCTTAGTGAACCACAGTCATGGCTAATACTGTTTTGCAAACTAACACTTGTGACTGGTATTATTTCATGTTTGTATCTTTCTTACATTCAGAGGAACTCCATTCACTTGACAAATTGCTTTGGGAAGTTTTTGCTGACCATACTCAGTTCTGAAGGGTGTTATGCTCATATGTTTCTTGTGCAGGGAAACTGAGGCACACACACGTCTAGACAAGCTTAAAAAGCAGCCTGGTTTGGGATGGCAACTTTTAGGTAAGCAAGACATTCACTAGTCCAGCAATTCCATCTCAAAATAACTTTCCTTCCAACAGAACACTCAGCTCTCTGGAAAAATGAGTTTCTAATGAATAGGAACAAAGCCTTTAAAGAGGGAAGCAGAGTGTCCCTCTGAAAAACTTCTTTTGGATGTGACTCGCTCCAAGATCTAAGCAACTCTTTGATGTAGGATTGGGCAGAGAAAGCTCAGATCCCAACAACCCCAAATGTGGCTCCTCTAATGACTCAAAAACATCAGTCCCTGCTCCTCCTGTCCATCCACTCCACGGTCACATTAGCTGAGACATTTTTTTAATCCAGCATTTGCTACCAAGAAGAGAAAACCTCAAAGTCACAGCTCACAGCTCCCATGTGAAAAGAACTTTGACACCTCAGAAAATTAAAAAAACATTGAAAAATATTCCATGCCACCTTTACCAGAAAGGGATTTTTTTCCATTGCAAGGGACGTGGCAGCATTTTTCATCAGGCAATCAAGGGCTCTGGCTACCTGCCTAAAAGGTGCTGTCAGCCTAAAACACACACGACACGTTTGCACAGCTCCTTGACAGAGGGGGATGCTTTTTTCTCATTAGCCAGTAAAATATTTCTCATTCCTTTGCCTTCTCTAATCATCACAAAGAGGTGAGTGGAGTTGGGGCCTGGGCTGCCAAATGTTCCCTGTAATTACTTAAGGCTAATTTACCAGAAGATTAAACGGGCCAAGTCCTGTCACCTGTTTCCAGGTCATCTCCTAGAATTGCTCAGGAAAACATTTGCAATACAATTATTCCATAGACTAGAACTGCACATGGAAAATTTCTTTCCATCATCCAACTCTGAGCTCTCCAAGTTCTGAAGAACCTGCATTGCTCTTCCTCTGGGCTCTTCCAAGAACAATGCTCAGACTAAAAGCTAATCTTCATTTTTTAAACAGTAATTCCTCTGTGTCTGATGCTCAAAATCCTCCATGATGTTAAAGGAGCACATGGAATATTATTTCATGTCATAGTTAGAGAGCTGTGACAGTGATTACCCTCAGAAATGAAACTTCCTGGGAATGCAATTGCCCTGAACAATAGAGGAGGAGGGAGAAACACAAAAAATACATAAACCAGAAATACCCATGGTTCTAGAAATTATGTTTTGTAAAGAGTTCCCTGAGTTATAATTGATTTCATTAACTCTTTTTTTTCACAGTAAGTACAATTTTTAACACAACTGCCTGAAGACACAGGACTGCCACCAACTGTTACAACAAATCCTTGGCAAGGAGATGGCCAGAGGGTCACAAAAATCTCAGTTCAGTGTCTGAATGAACAGCAAATGAACTCGCCCTAAAGCTGGGAGAATTTTCAAGAGATTCTGCCAAACAAATAAGGGGACTTTTTTTTTCTTCTTCCTTCAAGCTGCGAGGTGATCAGGGGCAGAAACTGAACATTTCCCTGAGAAATAGAGCCACAAACACTGCACTTCAACTAGCTCTGTGCCAGGGTCCTGCCTCCTCTGCAACTTGTTTCCTAGAAATTGGGATGTTGAGGCAAATGTACTTACGAGAAGGCAAATGCCACCAGGGCCCCACTGACCACAATGAAGTCCAGGATATTCCACAGGTCACGGAAGTAGGAGCCAGGGTGGAGTAATAGCCCCAAGTCAATCATCTTCAGAGGAAAGACAGAAAAAGGAAGAGTTTTAATAAAATAAAGACTAACTCAACACTTCTGCAGTACAGAGATGAGCCCTCACAAACTCTTCTTCAGGGCAACAAACAAACAAAGTCATGCTGTGTGTCTCTAATAGGCACAGAGAACTCTGTCAAACCCAAAGCTGGAGTCAATAAACCATAATTAAAAGCATGACAGAAAATAGTACTAACTGCTACCTGGGCTTCTCTGCACAGAAACACATTCATGTCTTTATTTCACACCGCAGTCTGTGTGTGCAGCTTCCCTGGAACTGTGCTTTCTGGGAAGTGACCCACATTCTTAGCAAAGCCTGTCACCTCACAGCAAAATAAATCTTCAATCTTTCGAAACAAAACAGAGCAAGAATCAGTTGCTCTTAATATTCCTGAGCAGCACTAAAGGAAAGCAGAAGGATCAGACGTGTCTCAGTAAGGTCTGTCTTCAGCCACACACAGACATTCCTGATCAAGCATCCACATTTATGATCCTCTTACACAACCCCAGCTACTAAGGCTGTCCTTATTTTCCTCCATAAAATGTGAGATTAATGTCTTGGCTGCTTCCTAGTGCTCTTCATGAGCCCAAGCTTCCCTCCATCCCTATGTTTCCAAGCCCCAGGGAGCTGTCGTGCACCCCCCTCTTTCTCCAGCTTCCCAGAAGGAGTGTAAACCACAACCTTCCTGCTTGGAAAAATTCTTACCTTGATCACCATCTCAAAGGTAAAGACACCCGTAAATATATAATCCAAGTATTTCAGAGCCTGAATTGAAAAGAGAAATGAGTATGAGGGGAGACCACACACTGAAATCAACTGCACATCAGCAGAGGACAAAGTCTGTCCCAGCACGGAGGTGTTTCCTGCAGTGGGTGAATCTCTCATGGGAGGCACATGCTTGAATCATCTGATTTTGGAGGTCCCTTCCAACCCAAACCATTCTGTGATTCCATGATTCTATGAACTGTGAGCATTTGGGTAGTGGAACAAGCTGGTTTGGGGGTGTCATTGCAGGAAGCTCCAGCTCAGCCCTCGCCAGCACACCGGGCTGTCCCTGGGAGATGGGCAGGCACGTGCCACGTGCCAACTGCTGGGAGAAGCAGAACAACTTGATTTTCTGGCCTTGTCTGTTGGTACTCACATCGTTCCTTGGTGACTCAGCTTGGACAGGGTCTTCTGCAGCCAGGGCAATGCTGCTGAGGGCGATGACGATCAGGATGACCATCTCGAAGTAGCGCAGGTTGACGATGTAGTGGAACAGCCGCCGAATCCTGCAGGGGACACAAGCAGAGGGGAGGGGACTGCAGGGGCTGCAGGTCAGGTGCAGTCTGACTGACCAGCAGGAGGAAAAGGTTCCTCAAGGGTGGCACCATTAGGATTCCT